ATTGATAAAAAAAAAAAAAAGACCATTTGTCAATACACTTTAGCTAACCATTTTCTAGACATAAACAGAACCACCACTAACTAAATAATAATGTTATGCAAAACTAACATAATACTACAACCGCAGAATAAAAATAAGTCACAAAAATACATGACAATAAGAGAAAGTAAAAAACAAAGAAAATTGAAAGCAAACCAAATAACCTCAACTAATTGAACACCTAATTTCTGTAAATCCAAAACTAATAGCTCATTATAAATACTTGCCAAGTTATTACAATAAACCACAACAATACATAAAAAGTTGTACAACACATTCTAATTGAAATCTAAGGAAAAAAAAGTTAAGTTTTTTCCATTTTAAAATCGAAGAAACAAAACCCACAGATTAAAATAACTATGTGAATCTTACCCTCAAATGTTTCATAAGCACAAAAACTATCCAAGATGTTGTTCTCCTTTTGCAAATGCAACCTATGAGAATGTGCTATGGAGCAAAAAATAATCACAAGGCGACACGTCGAATTTTGGATGAAGATGACAAATTTACCCTTGAGGCATACCGGGTCTTCTACACGCGAGCAGTGGAGAATCATCCATCAACCAAATCAGGAGTACCCAAAATAGGTAACAAGTTCAAATTTGTCTCATCCATCCTCATTCCATAACCTCCAAAAACCTCCCAAAACATTTCTTTTATTATGATAATTAGCCAATTAATATATTTATACCTAATTAATATATTAATTGCTAATTGAATCACCAAATAACACCCAAAAACACACTTAAAGGCCGGCCACACCCCATTCCCTATATATATATGACCTTATTTCTTCTAAAAAGTTAAGTTCCATACTCTTGCAAAACTCCCAAAAACTCTCCAAATACTTTTCTCTCTAAATTCTAACTTTGGCATCGGAGGTTCTTCGGCCAAAGCCCCCTCATTCATCGTGGGCACGTGATGCTCTTGGTCTTGACCCAAAGGTGTTAATTGTTTTGTAGGTGCAATTTTTTCCAAGAAGAAGAAGGCGGAAATTTGCATCCACAAATTGGTGCTTTCATTGAGAGTTGAGATTCACACTTGTAGAAGACTCTCGCACAAAAAGGTTTTTTCTCTATTTTCTCTATTTACTAGTCCATTTGTATTTTTCGTACGTTCTTATTATTAGAAATTTTTATTTGCAAAGATTCTTTGATAAAATGTGAAAGAGAAATATAATGGCTAGAAATTTAGAAAATTCCACAAGTGAAAATTCCAATATTTAAGAAATGGGACTGCAGCGTTCCACAAGACTAAATGTGATCTTAGGGGGAGCAGTATCGCCACCACAAGGCTCAATCATGGCAACCACTGCGGTGGCCACCATGGCAATCACCCATGACGAGGTTCATGACTCCACCACCACGGCCCGAGCCACGTCACTCCATGCCCAACGCAAGCCCTATGCGTTGCCAAGTCGAGCTCAAGCCTCGCATTCGCGAGCATCACACGCCGAGCAGCCTGTTTCCACAGCCTTGCCTGTTTCTGTGGCCCAGCCTGCTCCCGACGAGCAGCCCACTCCCGTGGCCCAGCCTGCTCTCACTGAGCAGCCCACTCTCGTGGCCTAGCTTACTCTCACCGAGCAGCAGCCCACTCTCGTGGCCTAGCCTGCTCCCGACGAGCAGTCCACTACCATGGCCCAACCTACTTTCGTGGCCCAGCCTGCTCCCGATGAGCAGCCCACTCCCGTGGCCCAGCTTGCTCCCACTGAGCAGCCCACTCTCGTGGCCTAGCCTGCTCCCGACGAGCAGTCTACTCCCATGGCCCAGCTTGCTCTAGTGGCCTAGCCTGCTCTAGCCGAGCAGCCCATTCTCGTAGCCCAAATCGGTCCAAGATTAGTTCAACCATCCCGGTTTTAAATTTTTAGGCTTACGATCGAACTGGGGGCATTCTCACCATATTTCTCCGCGGATTTGACATTTCCCAACTCAAATCTCACCCCCGGAGTCTACCACATTTCCACTGCTTCAGGAGGCACATTCATTCTGGTACCGTTTAGTACGTGGGACGGGACGGGATGGAACGGGACGAGCCGTTCCATCCCACGTTTGGTGCGCCTAAAAACTGTGGAACGGGTTGTCCCATGGGACGAAATTTGATTGATTTTTTGTTCCACCTTTTCCCCCTAGAACGACCCGTTCCACATCTGTGGAACACAAATTTATAACATTTTATGACAAAATTTCTCTTTATCTTTTTCAATATTTACATCATCCGTTCCATCCTGTTTCGTCCCATCCCATCCCGTCCCGTCCCGTCCCGTTCCGTCCCATCTGCGTACCAAACGGTACCTCTAATCTATTCCAATCCAAATGGTGAACAACACTTGTCTCGACAAGTCATAGAGTTGACAAGCGCCCTAGCACAATAAACGACCTTGGTGAACCAGCTCTTGCAGCGCACCAAGATGCAACGTGCCCCAAATGAGGTGTCCCAAAGTAGGACAAGGGTAGATGAAGAACCTCTCCAGCAGCATCCTGGCAAACAACCACTCGACCATCCACGAACAAAACGTTTGGGCAGAGTACACTCCCGATTTAGCCCCCGAGATAACGTATACTCTAGTCTTAGTGCGCGGAGGAGCGTGCACTATCGACTAGGCCCACGGACGAGCATACACTCACGGTTGAGGACGCACTTCGATAATCAACATGAGCAGCATTTCAAGCGAAGTATTCATTCACGGCTAGGTCCGCAAGAAGTATCCTCCACATTACATTGGAGCAGGCAGCACAGCAGACGGAAAGAAGCAGTTACTCAATCCGGCTCAAGTTCAACCAGCAGCCTGTGAGTTACATGCTCACCTGCTAGGAACATACCACACCCACCGCAGCCGCGACATAGACGAGCCAAACATATGGAATAATAGCTTAGACCAGCACATCACGATCGGGGGCAGTCAAGAGCTCTGCCACCCCAACAAAGGAAAATTCAGGAAGAAGTAGAAAGGCTCCTGACCAAGCGATTGCGCAATTTCTCGCGCTAACTAAGCCTCAAAAGGGTCTACTCTCTAGTGCGAGAGGATAAACTAATTGCTCTCTAGTGCGAGAGGGTAAACCAATTCCTCGACACCCAAAAGGGTCTGCTATCTAGTGCGAGAGGATAAACTAATTGCTCTCCAGTGCAAGAGGGTAAACCAATTCCCCGACACCCAAAAGGGTATGCTTTCCAGTGCGAGAGGATAAACTCATTGCTCTACAGTACGATAAGGTAAACCAATTCTCCGACACCTATATGGGTTTGCTCTCCAGTGCAAGAAGATAAACTAATTACTCTCCAGTGCGAGAGGGTCAACTAATTCCCTAACACCAATATGGGTTTGCTATCCAGTGCAAGAGGGTAACTAATTGCTCTCCAGTGCGAGAGGGTAAACTAATTGCTCTACAGCGTGAGAGGGTAAACTAATTGCTCTCCAGCATGCCGAGGTAATCATTGGCTTTAATCAAGGCAAGCAGCATAAGCAATGGTCTTTGCCACACCACCTCTTTGGCCCATGACAAGCCGATTCCTGGCCTCTGCCAGCCGACGCACCGTACCACCCTGATGGCTGTCCTGTGGCAGCACCTCCTAAGAAGGAGACAAGAAAAAATTAAATTTTTCTTACGTCGGTGCGGCACGGAGAAGATGAAGAAATCAACGAAAAACGATCTTTTGCACGAGCAAGTTGTAGAAGATTGCTAGAGGAGGGGGAACAAATATCTTCTAAGCTCTCTCTCTTTTTCTTGTACGGTAGAATAAATCGCTCTCCAAAGTTGATTTAACCCACTTAAGGTGGACTTAAATAGGCTTTGAGAGAAATTTATTTCCCTTTCCTAGAAGGACCTAATTTCCTATTAAAGAGGGAATCTACATCAAAATAGGAAGCAGTCCTGCGTTTCCTAAAGCAAGAAGATCTCTACACCTGCTGCCCTTTCTTATGAGCAGCCCAGCAGGTGTGGGGGTATTTGTGGAGCAAAAAATAATCACAAAGCGACACGTTGATTTTTGGGTGAAGATGAGAAATTTACCCTCGAGGCATACCGGGTCTTCTACACGCGAGCAGTGGAGAATCATCCATCAACCAAATCAGGAGTACCCAAAATAGGTAACAAGTTCAAATTTGTCTCATCTATCCTCATTCCATAACCTCCAAAAACCTCCCAAAACATTTCTTCTATTATGATAATTAGCCAATTAATATATTTATACCTAATTAATATATTAATTGCTAATTGAATCACCAAATAACACCCCAAAACACACTTAAAGGCCGGCCACACCTCATTCCCTATATATATGACCCTATTTCTTCTAAAAAACTAAGTTGATACTCTTGCAAAACTCCCAAAAACTCTCAAAATACTTTTCTCTCTAAATTCTAACTTTGGCATCGGAGGTTCTTCGGCCAAAACCCCCCCAATTCATTGTGGGTGCGTAAGGCTCTTGGCTTTGACCGAATGTGTTAATTGTTTTGTAGGTGCAATTTTGTCCAAGAAGAAAAAAGCGAAAATTTGCATCCACACAAGCGCTTCTGCACATTCTCATAGGAGAGAGAGAGAGAAACAAACGTTGAGAATGTACAGAGATAGAGGGCACCTATGAGAATGAAGAGAGAGAGAAGGAGGGAGAGAGAGAAACAAACGAAAAGAGTGGGAAAATAAATGGACCAGAAGTACTGAAAAAAAGGCACAACCAACAGCAGTTGGGAAGGGCACTTTCAGCATTTTACTGTTAATAAACAGTAACACCGAGTTTGGGTTTTAGTATAGAAAAAATAATGTGTAGAACACATGTAAAGAAACATTTTTAAACGGGCTCTTAAACTATTGTAAAATTAAAGGTCCATTGGGCCAGCGTAGAAAGAAAAAATAATGTGTAGAACACATGTAAAGAAACATTTTTAAACGGGCTCTTAAACTATTGTAAAATTAAAGGTCCATTGGGCCAGCGTAGAAAGGCCCGTACTATTTTCAGTCCAAACACGACCTCTGGAACTCGCTTCCCCTCTCTCTGTGATCTCACTCTCCTCTTCCTCCTCACCCCGGAATCGTGGAAACTCATTGTAATTGCAATCTGTCGCTGAAAAGGTATGAAAATTTCTGTATTTTGAATTTTCTTTCAAGTGCGATTGATATATTTGATTGGATTTCTTCAAGGGCCTGTCAGTGTCAGTAAACTGGTTTTGCTTGTGATTTCTTGATAATTTGCGTGATTTGTACTGAGATTTGGTTCTTGGTGATGATTTTTGTATGGGATTTAGTTCTGCTCACTGATTCCTCATGGAATTTATGAATTTTGCTTCAATCGGAGAATTGGGATGTTTTCGTATTCGATCGATGTATGGAAGAAATTGGTGATTGGCGTTTAGAAAAAGTTTGATGATTGAAGCTCTTGGTGTCCGCTTCTAATCGACACGGCCATGGCCAAAAGGATCTTGGGTAATTTGATTTTGTTGAAAGGGGTTGAAAGTTGACACATTTGGATGCATTGACTATGGCCGTAAGGCATATCTCAACTTCCTGACATGCACTCAAGCTCTGTGCCTTGAGTGCTTCACCTGTGTGAGCTCCCTTGACATATCACCGTTGGCAAATATTAAATGTCTAGATGTCCTTTACTACTTCTTGTGCCAAAGGTTATATTTTTATTTTTCTGATTTGTACTGTGTGCGTTTGGATGACGACTTTTAAAGTTTTATAGAACCTAGGGTAAATTAGTTACAAAAGCACTACAAAAATCGTGTGGATGGACTTTGAAAATGACGTGATGCTATACATTTGCAGTGCATTTGTTGTGTTCTAGAGTAGATGTTGTACATTTGCAGTGCAATTTTGGTGTTCTAGAGTAGCTTTGTAGTATTTGAGCAGTTCATTGGTAGTCGTCTTGTAGTGCTGTTTTAAGAATAGAGTTCAATGTTTTTTGGGACTTTGAAAGTCCCCCATCTAAACATGGCATAAGGAATTGATAAATGCATTAGGTCAGATCCATTTTGCCAAAGAAAACTTATATAAGAAAGCTCTTCCTTTAGGAAACAAGACCTTAGAGAGGATATGGAGTGATAAATTACCATCCATAGTATTAGTTTCTAATCTTATATGTCCTATATTCAAAAGGACAATAAGGTATGTCCATATGTCATGGAATTACGATACCATTTATGTTTACCAGTGTTTTAAAAAACTATTTTTAAGACTCGCCTAGGTGGTTTTTGGGGTGGGGATATGAAGAAAACGCCTCTGCCCAGCAGGAGTAGGCCATAAACTCACCTAGACGTGTGCGAGGTCACCGCCTAGGCGCCTGCAGCGTTTTGCTGGGGTTAGATATTTTTTTTTTAATAAAAAAAAAAGGCCCAAACACAAAACAACGTCATTCTGGGCAGGTTTTTTTTTAATTAAAACTCAAAAACTCAGTCTGAAACTCGTTTTGGGCAGGGTTCCTTGATGCTGAAAAAGGAGCAGCCTTGCAAACAGAATCGCAGACCAGCACCACCGAGCCCCGACGCCCCTCTTCGGTCTCTTCTCCTACCTTCAGCAACATCTCTTCTCCCATCTTCGGTCTAACCCGTCAATCTCCCACAAGTTCACAATAAATTTGTAATTTAGGTTAGGGTTTCTCAGCTATTGTTGATTATTCTTCTTCAAACGACTCTCTATGTTTGAAATTGTGCCTTATCCAATCTGCATTCTCGGTCGCAAGCAAAGGAAACCTCTAATTAATAATCATATGTTCGAAATTTTTGATTTGGTCATGGTTTCTCACCTATAAGCAATATGTTCGAAATTTATTTGCAATTTTGATGGGTTGTTTACTTCTTTTTGATAGGTTGTTTACTTCTTTTTAATTCATCATCTGTTTACTTCTATTATTTTCAATTCATCATACATATTATATTAATAGTTATAGGTACAGTGAGGCTATTGCCTCACGCCTCGAGGCTTTTGCCGAGGCGGGACTATCCATGAAACGCCTTGGCTTTTTAAAAAATTGATATTTACTTGAAGGTAATTAAACGTGTCTAAAAGCTGCTTGTGGAAAGCCATGTCCTGAGAAATTGCCTTGTAGGCTTATAAGATTGGTGGATTGGGTTTTGTTTGAATTGTTCTATTGAACTAATTGATGAGAAACTGTTCTGGGTTGTGTTCACACTTTTTATTAAAAATATGGACCAACCAATTGTTTAAGTGAACTTTCCTTGCAAGAGAAGAGAAACCATGAACAGTGAATTGATGGCCATAGCGGATCAACCTGACTTTTTGGGGTGTTTTTCTTTTATGTTATTGGAAATGTTATTGCGAAGGTGGATGAATGTATATTGATTTGTGTTATTTGGTTTATCCTTACTACAGAGTAGTGTTTTCTTGCTTTTTAACTTGTTCTTATGTTTATAGTTGTGTAGTTTGTTTAATTAGTTTCTTTTTGAAAAAAAAAGCTTTATGTTATAAGTGTTTTTCAAATGATAACTAAAGCTCAAAATAAAAAACAGTAAAATGACAACAAAATGGTTATCAAACCAGGCCTAAAATTTGAGTTTGTTTTTTTTGTTTGTAATTTTGCACAGAAACCTTTAAACTTCTCAGTCTCAGCTCAGATCACCATGCCTCCAGCTGGCCCTCGATCTGGTGACGCAATCTTTGCCAACGTTGAACGCGTGGTAAGTGAAACCCCAACTCGCCTTGTCTTAACTTTTCAATTTTTCTCAGCATCCTAACATGTTTTAAATAACTAAATTATTTCTCTATCCTTTTAATTTCGAAATTGAAATGGTTTCAGAATGCGGAGTTATTTACGTTGACGTATGGTGCAATTGTGCGCCAGCTGCTCACTGATCTTGAGGAGGTTGAAGAGGTTAACAAGCAGCTTGATCAAATGTAATTTCTTTTTCTCTTCTTTAATCCTCTATATCCAAATTTGATGTTGCATTTCTTTCCTTTTTCTCTGAGAATTATGCCTTTCCTCGAAGTTTAGTTCTAGCATTTAAATTATATGGAAGTATGTGCTTGTGTGCGTCGGTAACTATCTTGGTTTCTTGGTTTTTTCGTTCTTGTACAATTCTGTTTATGGCTGTTAATTTATGTCAATCTTTGATTTGAACTATAAATGTGTTGCAATGATGACAATTTGGCTACATTGAATGTTTGATGGCCAGTAACAGTAACTATTGATATAAATGTAGTTAATTTTCAGTGTAGCTGATTACGTGACAATTTATTGCATCTCAGGGGCTATAATATTGGCATTCGATTAATTGATGAGTTTCTAGCAAAATCTAATGTATCTAGATGTGTTGACTTCAAGGAGACAGCTGAAGTGATTGCAAAGGTTTGTCATTAACATCTGTTTCCTTTTAAATTTGAATATTCTGCGGATCTGAATTGTTCTAAAACCTGGTAACTGTTTCTTTTGTGCTGAACTTTGTTATGTGCTGTACATTTCACTTCAATCTACCACCTGATGCATGGTAGTTATCGAAGCTTCTATTACTTCCCATAGTATAACAATATCTTTCACCAAATATTGGTGGAAATGTAATCCACATATTCTATCTTCTCCCTTCTTGAGGATGACAACGGAGGTTTGTTAGTGAAAACCACGATTTGGATCATGGTTAATGGCTAATATATCTGTTTGATACTTGTCAAAATCCTAAATGCTGAATCCAGTCCACTGATTGTGCAACAAAGCATTAGTAGGCCTAACAATGTTGAATTTAGAATCATTAAGAAGTGGATCTAAGGGTAGTCTATCCGTTTGTTTGGGTTTGAGGCTCTGTCTTGTGATGGAAAAATGGTAATGGGACTGGGTTGTGATTTGTGAGTACATGTATTGGCTTCCACAAGACAGTTACTCAAGTGTTTGCTGCACTCTTTTCATGCTTCGCTGGACCTAGAATGTTTGTTTTGGCTGTGTTTTTAATTGCCATAAACTTCCAGACGAAGATATGAAGTAGTTTTTTGTCATAATAGCTCCATCAATATTTTTGCTACAGGTTGGTTTCAAAATGTTCTTGGGGGTCACCGCATCTGTTACAAATTGGGATGCTGATGGAACATGTTGCAGTATTGTTCTGGAGGACAATCCTCTGGTAGACTTTGTTGAGCTTCCAGATACTTGCCAAGGTCTTTACTATTGCAATATCTTAAGTGGAGTTGTAAGAGGGGCCTTAGAAATGGTGAGTTGTACTTGTAACCTCTTCTACTGCACTGCTTTGAAATATTCCCCCTTTATGTGATTTATGGTTTTCCCTTTTTTCCACTGCAATTATGTGCCTATATAACGGAAGACAACTTCTTACTCGTATACATGCCTTGTTGATATTGGATTTTATTTTTACTCCCATAGAGAATAACACGGATGGTTTTGGTTTTATTCCTTTTATTAAAAGTATTAGTTACAGCACTTGCAACTGAGAAAGCTAGCTCGCTGCTAGGAAACTCGTTATCTATCTATTTATATTTATATATTTTCAAACCCTGCTGTAGTTATATTCCTCACAATTACATGAATCTACCGTGCATTGACTTTTTCAGCTTCAGACGTAGTTTAGTTTTATTAATTCATTTCTTACACAATGTATTTGTATATAAAGTTTTCCATTGCTTCGCCAATGGAAGGGTCCCTATTTTCCATTCCCTTATGCACATTTACTCGAAGTATCAAAGAAGACTTGTATCACTGTAGATTGAGGGTATCCACATGGTTCGTAAGGCTAAAAGTTACTTCCTGATTGGAATAGAGGGGTTTTGAAGGTTCTATTAAAACCTAAAAATGGGGGTAAGGCTAGCCGACATTCACCTCTCCCAGACCCTGCGTGAAGCGGGAGCCTTGTGCACTGGGTACGACCTTTTTTTATTAAAACCTAAAAATGTGAAAGGGTGGTGGAGGGTCTATTTTGTCGTCAGGCATATACATGAATTTTCTCCGCGTCTTTACTCTTTTTCTTGCCTTGCCTTACAGTTACCTTGATTCTGTGGTCAGGTATCGATGAAGACTGAAATCAGTTGGATCCGTGATATGCTTCGAGGAGATGATGCATTCGAGTTGCAAGTTAAGCTCCTCAAGCAAATTCCAGAAGAGTACCCGTACAAAGATGATGAGTAAAATGCTTGCACAGCGTAACCTGAGATGTAAACTGTTTTATTCCTTGAAATCAAATGTTATGTATTTAGTATGCATTCGCGGGCACATTGAATAGATAACCGTGTGTTTCTTTACCCTCCGTTAGGTTTTACCATTCCGATGAACCATGGAAACGACTAAATGTGCAATTTACATGTTTTGTGACTCTCAACCATATTTTTCTTTCATGTAATGGGTTGTAAGAAAAACATGTATGTTTTCAGGAAAGTGTATTGTAACGTGAACTAACAATGCATTATTTTACTGAACCAGAAAGTTTGTCATCAATCCTCCAAGACTAATTTGCTCCTTTTTTCTTATATTATTCTACGACCAATCTACATATGAGAAGACAGGAGGGGGAGAGTTTGAACGTTAGACGCAGTAGGTTGAAGAGAAAGATTTTAACTATCAAGACAATCAATTGCTTGCCAATTAGTCTCGTTAACCTAATGGTCACGGTCAATTTGCTTTTGAATTAATTTGGGACTTGAATTAATTTTTTTTTAATACCTTTGATATTATCTACGCTATTGAGTGAAGGAATGAGTAAAACCTCACAATGAACTAGTCATACTAATTTAGTCCGAATTCACCTTTAACGAGAATAAATACAAAGTCATTTAGAATCTTCGAGAAATAAGAAAGCAGAATAGTACCAATAAATACGCAATAAGAACTCTTGTCAAGAAGATAACGACTCGTATAAAGTGTATGCAAGGGGGAGAAAGAGATATTTTTCACTTGTCCATCTCTCCTTCGACTTCCCTCCCTCCTTCGTACAATTTGTGTCTTTGCTCACTTGGAATCATCCTTAGCGCTAATTCTAGTTAACGACATTGACTTATGAGCCATAGTGTCCTTGACAAGAAGTCTTATTGGCGGAGCCAAGGTGGGGGACTGGCTGCTGCAGACCACAGTAACTGATAAAATCCTCCCTTTAGAATTTCGTTTGACTCTTATGCTAGCTAAAGTACAAATGAAATAAAGAGACCTTTCATTTGTATTTTAAATTGACACCAACCAAAACTATGTCGTTTGTGTTCTGTTTCACTTGAAAAAAAATTTAGCAAACTAATTCTCAAACAAGATGAAGACTAGTCAAACACGCAAACGTCTTCTATGTCTAGATTTCATATCCCCTAATTAATTTATGCTTCTCTGGTGTTCAAGTTCGGTTAGCACCCTCATCACACTTTGCTGTACACAAAATTCTAGTCGTATCAGTATTTTTTCTCATCTTAAGTTTATTGAGATTTTTAGTGTTTTCATATTGGTTTATTGATTTCGAATGATTTTTTTGCAAATATATATATTGGCAATTATAAGAAACGTTTGATCAATTTTTGGAAGTTTTTATTTTATGACTCAATTGTTGTAAATTTCTGACTCCGTCACTAATTGTTTATGTATCAGTATAATTCCGTTTTCTTAACTCTTGAAGATTCTAAATCATTTCATGTGGCAGGGACATTATAAAATAGGATATGTTATCTACATAACTCTTTTTACTTCTCACATACATGTTAATTTCTGTCATTTGATATTATTTAATTCATTTAATTCAAAGACAAAAAATAAAAAAAATGTGCAAGATCCAAAAATAGGTGCGCTCTATAAAATTTGTTTATGTAGGTTCATATTCATTTTCATTGTTGCTGGTTTGCTGCCATTGGTGGTGAAGTCAGACTCGTTGAATGCTGTCAGATATGCTGCCATTGGTGGTGGGTGGAGTCAGACTCCTTGATGCTGTCACATTGGTTACCACAAGAGGATGAATGCATGGCAAACGAGGGATCCCACGTCCATGTTGTTCTGTCTTGTCCAAACACCATCAGCTGGTGCTTCAGCATTCTCCTTGGACCACTAATTAGGTGGCTCGTCGGATTGCACGCTATAGTACTAGGACTTCGTGGTTTATCCTTGTGGCACGTCATCTTGATTATCCTTTTCTTTACTGTGTTGACGTGTTTTACAATAAAATAGTAAGAGAGTAGGATAAGCCTTATAATGAACCACAAAAAATCACTACTCTTACGGGCTAAGTCTCCACCAACAGAGGGCATAGGGGAATAAGCACTCTCCTAGGAATCAACACACAAAAACTTTGTTATAAATTATCCTATTTCTTATTAGGATCATGATGCAATTTTGAATACTTGAACAGTCAATTCTGGCTGATAGCAATAATGTGGTTCAAATTTTCTCTTGGCGAAAATCGAACGTAAGATCTCTCACTTATAAGTAAAGAGGAATTTCACTAGATTGTAATATTAAGTGACGACATATGCCTATTTTGGTAATGTCACTAGACCGTAATAATAAACGGCGACATACGTCCATTTTGAACATCTCTTTCTTAAAACGGGACCAGCTGGTGGTAATGACGTAGCCGAGAATTATTCAATGGGTGTGCTAAGCTAAAATTAATACTACGAAATCAAATTTTTAATCTTTTTTTTTTTAAACAAACGATATTATCTACACTAAGGAAGATGAATGGGTTTAAGTCTCACAATGAGCTAGCAATAATGTGGTTCAACTTTGCTGTTGGCGAGTATCAAACTTAAGACCTCTCACTTACAAGTGAAGATGTATACCACTAGACCGTAGTACTAAGTGACCAAATTTTTAATCTTTTGTTGCCTACATAAATTTACCTTTATATATAAAGCCAACAACCCTTTTCGGGGTCACAAGCTTCACCCAAAATTTGTGGACAAAAATGCCCCCAAAACAAAAAAATTCAAAAGCAACCCAAAATAATGTATGGGTATTTTCATCATTTTTACAGTGTTTTTTAATAATTAATTCTTTTTGTACATTTTTTTAATTAGTAACTCATTATAGGCTAGCAATAATGTGATTCAATCAATTGCTCATTAAATATTATTTTTTCTATTTTTAAACACATTCAAAACATCTTAAGAGGCGTGTAATATCGGTTATAAAAAAAATATTTCGCATGTGCATAATAATGTGATTAAATTAGTTGTCAAATCTTATATATAAAGCCAACAACCCCTTTCGGGGTTACAAGCTTCACAAAAAAAAAATTGGACAAAAATGCTTTTTTTTTTTTGAATAAACGATATTATCTACACTAAGGGGGATGGGGAATGGGCTTAGCCTTACAATGGGCTAGCAATAATGTGATTCAATCAGTTACTTATTAAATATTATTTTCTCTATTCTTAATGTAAATTCAATAGAATGTAGATGGAAATTGAAAGACCGATTTTATTATGTGAATTCATCTGTTTTGATTGATTTGTGAGGGGTTTTTTCTAGCATGATCTAAGATTATTCATTTACTTCAAATATTTTGCTTTCCTTTTGTCAATTCATGCATATAAATACATTTAAAACGTGTAAGTCACACGTAGCACGCCGTAATTAAAAAAATGCATTCTGTACGCGCATGAGTGCATGAAGGCTAGTATAATATTAAAAACTTGAATGTAATAATTTGAAGCAATAATTTTATGCAATGTTTTCTAGGCTTCTAGTCTTCAAAACTATCATGTGAGTAAAATAAGGAATCATTTGTGATATGAAAGTTTTAATTTATTACTATTAAAATATAATATTAGTTAAAGTAATGAGTTTATTTAACATTTATTATCTCTATTTTCCTCAAAAGTAGTCTTAATATTCAAAGTTTTCATTTGCTAAGTGGAATATGACAATTAAAAATCATAAAATAGACCAAAATGATTATTAATTTTAAGCTTGAAGAACCAAAACTCTCCCTATGCTAAAGCCTAGGAGAGCCTTATACTTGGCTCTGCCAGTAGCTGGTGGCTTCGCTATGACAATCCACTATTCTAGAGGTCGGGAAGACTTACAGAGGCCTTTTAGCCTCCCTCTGGCTACAATCGTGTGATTCACCAACGCCAAAAATTGAACCTGGAATGTGCCGTGTGGAATACGGATCTGGAATTCGTCTCTATTCACTAGACCACCCCATGGTGGTTGTCCATTTTGAACCTCTGAAAGACAACACTTCTAAATTTCTAATTCTACCTATGTGCGTGTGTGACTCGTTGTTTTGTTTAATAACGTCTCTAAGTGGTGGCCCTTAAGTTCAGCAAGCATGGATAGGATTTATCCAGTTGACATGGGTCTAGGTGGCCTCCATATAAAACGAGGGACAAAGAAACAAAGGAACCCTAGTTAGAAAAAGAAAAGACTTATTTTTTGCAGTACGCTTGCAACTCAACTTTAATCTTTTTTTTTTCTTGGAATAAAAATATCGTCACTTTATACTTTAAAATCCAATTTTCGCTCCATTACAGAGAAATTCCGTCGATTTAGTCAAAACGTTGTCAAATATGCTGAGGTGGAAGAAACATTGCTTATGTAGCATCTATTTGACAAAAAACTAAAGGATATTTTGATCAAATCGACAAATCTCCCTCCTCCTTCCTAAAGAACTCACGAATTTGAGTCCCAAAATTCGTAGAAAGCAGACATAAAATTCAGACAGCAACTCCAAAATTGGACGGCTACGGGAAACCGGATCTGAATGTCAGCCTCCACCATCGAGAAATTGGTCGGTCGTTTCAAGTTTAATTGATTCTAAATAGTTTTGGATTGAATATTTCCTAAGTATAGCATACAAGTATTTATAGGAAAGATTACCATAATTGATTCCTATAATTGATACATATCTAGGTAATCATTCCACCATATTTGCTAAAAGCAACGCTGATTAGATGCTAATCCAAGGAAATATCTTGGATAATTGTTAACTTTCTCAACACTCCCCTTAAAGTTGGAGAGTGAATGTCATAAACATCTAACTTGCCTAACAAAGAACAAAAGCGTTGCCTAATAACGCCTTAATAAAAAAAGTCTGCTAAATGCGATGTGGATGGAACGAAACCGGTAACAATCTTTCCTTCTATAATCTTATCTCAAACAAAATGGCAATCAATCTCGTTGTGTCTTGTCCATTCATAAAACACGGGATTGGCAGTAATATGGAAGGCCGTTTGGTTATCACAAAAAGGGTGGCTAGCCCTTGATTTTAATCCATAAATCATGACACAAACTTGGCAGCGATGCTATTTCACAACACGTTGCTGCCATAGACTGATACTCTGCTTCGGCTAATGATAGAGACACTATTTTCTGGCATTTTCTCTTCCATGAGACAAGCTAGTTTTCTATAAACACACAATAACTTGTGGTGGATCGTCGAGTAGGACAACCTGGACTGAGATTAGTGCCCTTCGGTATGAGATATATGAATGTGAATTTTAAATTGAAACCAAATTTAAATA